CATCCTTAGTCATTACTGCTTCTTACACCCGGCCTCTCCGTCTCTCTCTTTCTCTCTTTCTCCCCCGCGTCTCATGGCCTCGAAGGCCGCTCAAAGTGTGCTCGAGTCTTCTTAAAGTCGGGACCCCACACCTTGGATGAATCTTACACGATGATAGAACCAGTCTTGTATCGTGATCATCATCATCATCGTCATCATCATCATCATCATGATCAGCATGATCATCAGCATCAGCATCACTCTCAGTCTTTTCCCGCAGGCTTGGACTGTGCATATGCCACGTCTGCTTTGATACTTGAAGCTCTAAGCCGATTCAATGCAGTCCTCGCTTACTGCACGCAGGGATGATTTGACTACAGGTATCTTATAGGATTCTAAATATGAACCCCAAAAAGGAACTTTCTTTTTGGGACTACCTTATAGGATTCTAAATATGAACCCCAAAAAGGAACTTCCTTTTTGGGACTATTGCCTGGGCTCTTTGGAGTGCCGTGAGGCTGTCGCACTGCGCTCGAGGTACTTGCAGTGTCGACGCAGCACAGAGAGGCAGCTCCAGGACGGGGAGCCACACAGCAGGGCTCTAGGCTCTGGTTGAATGGGGGCCCGGACTCGCATAGCAAGATCTCGTTAGAGGCCCACTTTGTGTCTCTGTACGTCTGGGTTTGGAGTTGAACCTTTGGGGCTTCTTTTGCTCCAAAGCACCCGAAAGAGGCAGCGCACTCTGCTATCGATCGAGAGCTGCGGCGGCCGAGTCAGCAGAAGCTCCCGGTCCGCACCAGTTCACCAAGGAGCGGGGCGCGGGCGCTTCAAGCGCAAGGGCCCGCACCCTGGCACCCTAGTCGCCCACCCCCGCTAGCACTCGACTCGAGTCTCGTTGACCTTACAAGGTTAGCTTTTGTTCTGTTGCCTGACCCTGCTTTGGGCATAAAGCGAAATCAGATTTGGGCATGCATGCTGCAGATCGAGAAAGCTGATTTACATGTCCGTGTGTGTGTACGCGCCTGCGTGTGCGAGACATATGCCATTAAATGTCAGTTGCGGGTGAGCCTAAGGAGAGTTTCTGTGCGAGAGCGCAGGCGCAGCTCCGTCATCGTAAAGCGGCCGGTCTGAACCATAGGAGCGGAACGTGACTTTCCCACTGTCTTCATCGAAAGATCCCTTCCAAGCTCTCTTTAGTAAAACCCGAGACTGCAAGACTTTTGCCAACAGAAAATTCCAGGAACCAAGCCGTAGACTGCTCCACAACTGGAGTGAAGAGAGTACGTTCCCGGCCCAGGAAAAGTTCCACCGCGCCGGAGGAGGTCAGTTTCAGTGCTGTGCTGACAAAAATCGCGGAGCTTTGTAAGCCCATCTGCTGCGGCGGGCCATGTGGTACGCTCTGGTCTCACTTTATTCAGTCCATCAGTTAGCCAGCTCTTTCAGCTGACCTGCACCGGATGCCAGCCACGTCTTCTTGGGCAGACCAGAGTGAGCTTGGTCTCGCAGTTCGCATCAGTAGAAGCGTGTCTGCGTAGGTCGGTGTCTCAGTCATGCCCAAATGGACGGATCAAGGCATCGGCGTCAGCAAGCCAGGAGAAAGGAGAATCAAGGCCCCGAGCCCTAATTACAGCAAACCCTTCAGGCCCTGGACGTGCAACATGTCTCTTATCATTCTCCGCCCCTGGCGAGTTGAGGCACAGCCACTCGGGGCAGTTTGTAGCTAGGCCGATTTTCAATACACAGTCGATTCTTGGTCGATGCTCTAGTCGATTTCAAGGTAACCCTGTACCGATTATGACAAAGCGCAGAGAGTCGGCTTGATCCAACATAAACAAGACTTCAGCTTATCTGAGATTTGTCGCTGTTAGCATCCGACGAAGACTCGCAGGGAGCCAGCTCGGGAGTTGACAATCTTCTCAGTAGCCCTGCAGCCCTGCCTGCAAACAAGGAGACATAGATGCTCCGCTCTTACAAAAAGCATTGGTCATGCTGCAAGTTTCGTCAACTTGCGGAGGAAGCAGTCACTCTGGAGATGTGACTTGAGCAATCTCAGAATCGTTGAGGGGTCACTTGCGCACCATCGGCACAGAGCTTCGAAGCTAACATCGAAAGAGAGCAAGCTTGCACGAGTGATAACGCTCCTGTCGCCTCGCCACCAGGCCTCGCGTAGATGTCCGACGCTTCCTAAAGGCCTTCATGGGGCTTTCAGGGTCAGTTCGAGCAGTCCTTGAGCCTTGCTTGCGTCAAGACACATCGCCTCCAGTTGCATGCGCCAAACTGTGTGATGAGCGCAATGCTAATATTGGGGAGTGTTTCGTTCCTCTAGTTGCGACATGTTCGGATGGATCATGGTTGACCATTGCGGCGCAGGGGATCGTGAACTGCAGAGTAAACCTGGCCTGTTTAGAGCCCCAGAATGATTTGCTGGCGGGCGCCTGGTGTGCTTATCCTTCGCTTCATGACCTTGACTTCGTGGGTTCCTGCTGGGCTGAAAGGGGACGGGGGCATAAGGTAATCGTCTACGACTTGCACGATGCCGACTTTGAGGAGATAGAGCTGCCAGCTTAGACCCTTGTGTGCTTGTGAGTAGCGCATCATTCACATTCTGTGAGCCTCATAACTTTCCGGCCGACGTGCAAGCTTTGTATGATGCAGTTCCCGCTCACCTATGCACATACGTCGCTCCACAGACGGTATTGGCACATTTGTGTCCAACAGCTCCTAAGGCTCGTCATCCGCATGCTGCAGGCATGCGTCGATCCCTTTCATCGTCATGCCCTGTTACTCGAGAAAGTGCGAGTTCAAACGCTCCACGTTGCAGCGTTTGCGGTTCAAGTCATGGTGCAGTCTTTGCATATTGCCAGAGCGTATCATCTAAAGCTACACCACAAGTCTCCTGCCTCACTCGACTAGCCCATGCCGATCCGGGGCAGATCGCTGTGTCTCTGTGCCTCAGAGATGTATTGGGGCTGGAGAGGTGTTACGAGGATACCAGGTCTGAGACTTTCTGCAGACTCTACAGTGTCGAATGCCGGAAGCTTGCAAGGCAGCCTATGCATCTTGAACACGATGGCTGCCACCGGTGAGGAGCTTGCCAAGCCTCTTCAAGTCCGGCTGCATGTAGCAAAGGATAAACATACTTCACCCCTACTTCTCACTGCCTTGGAGCATTGTGGTAGTTTTTCAGGCATGGAGTGGTGTACTCCGCTGATTGTGCCAAGTGCTGAAGCTTGCTCTTCCCGGCTTGCAAACCATAACCGTTGTGGCTACGTGGACGCAGGAGTCCTTCGACCTCGTGGCACAACACTCCTGGCAGCTTGCATTGAGAGAGCAAAGATGTCACCTCCTCATGTGTCTAGATTTGTTGCAGAAACAGACCGTTGTAAACTGAGTTATTTCGCCACGGGGAAACCTTTTTCGGGTTACCACGTACAGAGAGTTCACAGCGGCACCCCAACCCGCGAAACCCTTCATGTCTCCGAAGCCTTCATGCTCCAGTCGCCTTCGGACACGATCCCAGGCTCGATCCAACTACAATGCACGTGTCGTTCCAGTGGCAAAGCAAGATGCTTTGCTGCCATCAGGGTGAGCATCCAGTGGCCCGAAACGACGTGAGTGTGACTTGAGATCCTTTACGCTCCGAGGCCCAAAAAGGTATACCTTGACCGTCGAGGTTCCCGAACTTCTCTGACAGTCGGAAGCGGGACTACTCATCGGTCACTGCCAGCTAAGGAATCTTACGTGGGCGGATGCGCTGACCCTGATGGAGGAGGAGCCGCTGCCGCACGCTCAGGGTGGGGTTCTGAAATGTAAGGGTACGTCATCAAAGGTCAGAGTTCCTCCGAAAGGATCATGCTATTCGGGGTCCTTTGTGAACTGTTCCGTCAGAGTCTCCCTTCTCGGTGTTGGGTTTTTTTCCAGCAGGGGCTGAGCAAGGGTGGATGCTTGAAGACAGTCCATCCAATTCTTGTCATCGCGTCACTTTCCTGTTATTATTATTATTATTCACAGGAACGGGTGCTACCCTAAACCCTAAACCCTAAACCCTAAACCCTAAACCCTAAACCACCGATCTGTTTCAAAGTGTTGAGTGGCGCCTCCCGGGCATTGTGCTATAACGCATTGATCAGTGCGGCCGAGGTTTCGCCATAGGCTCGCAGACGAGCTCAAGGCTGTGCGGCGGGATTTTAGGAGCACTGGTGTGCAGGGTCCATGACATGAGGAACCACCGGGCCCTGTGCAACACTCTTAATATAGGGGCCTCAATTTTTAGCTATACTATTTCGGGGGCTCCTTAGTATAATTATAGCATAATGGGCCCCAAAACCCTATTCTAATTATATGGAGTCTTGGTGCTTGATTTCGGCGTGGGGCCTGCGATCTGCTGGCCGGTCGGTGTCTCTTCGCTCAGATGTCTCCCTGGGCGGCCTTTTTCTGGGAGTGTGCTCCCGTGAGCCTACAAACAGCCAAGAAGCGGCGGCTCAGATGCTGGTTTTGATTTCTCAATATACTAGAGGGTCTGCCAGCTGTGGGTGTCTACTGGTAGTGCACTCTGAGGCTAGGCAGCCGATTCGTTTCGTGAACGCGAGACTTCTAGTTCATGGCCTGGGCTGGCTTCTGATAGCTTTCCGTATGAGTGCAGTTTGCATCGATCAACCAAGGCTGTTCGAGTTTGTAATCAAGGAGGCTTCCCACTTGGAAAACGCATGGGTGGAGTCACGGCGGCAGAGAGACTTCTCCCACTTCACGCCAATGCATCTGCATTGCATCATGCAGATGCCAAATTCCTTGCCGCACCGCCAGGACACAGAGTCTTTCTCCAAGTACTTGAAGCCGTTGCAAGGGAAGCCGGCGGCGGCTACATTCCCCAATCTAGGGGGTGTCCTGGAGTACATGGGAGCACGCTTTGTAAATGTCTAAGGCGTGCCGTTTGTTCTTCCTAGGGTTCTGGTCCTCTGGTCCCTGGTGTCCCAATATCTTGCAGGTCCCCAGCCCCTGGCGCAGGCCGCGGCTCGCCCCGGTCGCGGCCCGTGAAAAGTTGGCGGCGGGTTTTTCAAACGAGATACATGATGAACCGGAATCGCCAAAGGAGGGGGCGTGCTTCAGATACATGATGAACTGGAACCGACAAATGATTTGTCGTGTTGAAAACAACACAATCTATCTAGAGTGTCTGTCAAGTACACACATGTGTGTGTGTGCGCCAAGCAAAGTCATGTCTGCCCCCTCTCGTTTCTTTAGTTTTGCTTCAAAATGACATCCTGCCAGCAAAAACAGCATGCATCTGGATCCTTTCAGAACCCCCAATCCAGACATTATGGTTGCAAACGGGAGGGGGTGTTGCGCTCCCCTCCAGTCCCCCAGCTCTCTTCTTTAGCCCTACCGCGGCCGCTGGTCCGTGAAAAGTTGGGGGCGGGCTTGGCAGTTTAGCAAAAGTGCAGAATCGGAATTGGCAGATGAGGGAGCGTGTTCAAGATATATGATGAGGGGGCCTGTTTCAGATATGTGATGAACCTGAATCGCACATATGAAACCGGCTCGGCAAATGAGCGGGCGTGTTTAAGATATATGATGAACCGGTCTCGCCCAAAGGGGGGGGGGGGTGTGTCCAAGATATATTAGATGCACCGGAAACGCCAAATGAGGGGCGCTTATGATGAACCGGTCTCGCCCAATGGGGGAAGAAGGCGTGCTCATGATATATGAATGAAACGGAATCGCTGCATGAGGGGCATGTTTAAGATATATTATGATGAACCGAAATCACCAAAGGAGGGGCCGTGTTTAAGATATACGACGAACCGGAATCGCCTCATGAAGGGGCGTGTTTAAGATGTATGATGAACCGGAATCGCCACATGAGGAGCGTGTGTACGAGATTTTATGATGAACCTAAATCGCCAAAGGAGGGGGCATGTTCAAGATATGTGATGAACCGGATTCGCCACACAAGGGAGCATATTTTTGTTGTATGATGAACCTGGATCGCCAAATGAGGGCGCGTGTTTAAGCAATATGATGAGGCGGAATCGCCCGCTGGAGAGGGGGGAGCGTGTTCAAGATATATGATGAACCGGAATCGCCACATGAGGGGCGTGTGTAAGATATATGATGAACCGGTCTCGCCCAAAGGGGGCAGGGAGGCGTGTTCAAGATATATGATGAACCTGAATCGCCACGTGAAGTGCGTATTTAGGATATACTAAGATGAACCGGAATCGCCAAAGGAGGGGGCGTGTTTAAGATATATGATGAACCGGAATCGCCACATGAATTGGCGTGTTTAAGATGTATGATGGACCGGCATCGAGAAATGATTTGGATTTGAGATGCATGCTGAACTGGAATCGCCACATGAAGGGGCGTGTTTAAGATGTATGATGAACCGGAATCGAGAGATGATTTGAAGTGTTGAAAAAGTAAGACGGACCGGAATCGCCCCTGTAAGCTGTAATCCTACAGTAGCGTGGGGCAAAACAGGACCCCGGAAATTGTAATTCTTCAACATCTTGACGCAAAACAAGACCCTGCAAAATTGAATTCCCCAATAGCCTGACACAAGACAGAAGCCTCGACATTGAAGTCTCGCAACAGCTTGGGGCAAAACAAAACTTTGCAAATTGCAATACCTCTATGCTTGACGCAATGCATAATCCTGCAGATGTAATTCCACAGTAGCTTGACACAAGAGGCCTCGAAACTGTAATCCCGCAATAGCTCGGGGCAAAAGCAGCTCGGGGCAAAGCAGGAGTTTGCAAATAATAATTCCATAGTATCGGATGCAAAACAGGAGCACATGCTGCAGTTTACGGTAGTTGCAATCAAAAACGAGAGCCAACGTTAGCAAAGGACACCGGGTACCGCCAACTTTAGCCAAAAAGCCCTCCGCCGTAGTCTAAGTCTGAGGGGCTTCGCTGTCTGGCAGATGTTTTGAACGGCTTCAAACGGCGTCCGCTTGCAAATCTGAAACAGGGTTAAAGGATTGTGAGAAGTCGAATTGGCCGTGACCGAACGTTTGTTGCACGGTCGGCTTGTAACTGAGCTGGAGTTGGGCACTCCAGCATCCAAAAACAAACATGCCTGCCCAGCCACTGCTGCACGATGCCGAGGCAGCTCAACCCTAGTGTCCCCGGCACAAGACGCGACGATGACAGCAGAGGACGTGAAGCTTGAGGCCTTCAGGTCGTCAGGTTCTGTGATCAAAAAGCTTGGAGCCGACAGATTGCTAGGCTTAGGCATGTACAAGAAAAGTTTTCGAAGTGCTTGAGGACTACAAGCACATCGGCTCCTTCTTTCGGAAAGCCTCTGCTACGCAGCAGGATGCTGTCTTGAAGGACGCATTAGCTTGAGCTCGGCACCTTGACCATACATGTTTGAGCACACTTTTTCACCGCACGCAGGCAGTCGGTGATGCACTGCGAGAACGACTGACGAGGGACCCAAAGGCCTTCGACTTCCATGTGTCCCCAGTCCCCACACTCGCTGGCGCGCATTTTTCCGCTTGCCCAGGCTCCCTTGTGGCTCAACACTGAAGGGAGTGGCGTAGCCTGGCTCCACGTCCGCATTGACCCGACGCCCAAGCACCTTGACATCAACTGGCTGGCTCCACATCTTCTCTTGCGTCTAGGCGTGTTGTCAGTGGACCTTCGAACGTCTCAGACTTAGGGGATGAAATGCCCATCTCTCGTTTCCGACGAGGTACTACCACCACAGGCCGTACCGCTCGAAGGAGTAGCTCAGCTAAACAGTGCTTACTTTCGGGCCAGGCGAGAGCCTGCGCTCATGTCTGCTCTCTGCAGTGCTGTTCGCATCCGAGGTATGGCTTGTCTTCGGAGACGTGTGAATCGTCGTCCGTTTGCTAGCCCCGGGTTGGCCGGGCACTGGGGATCCAGAGAAGTTTTCAACACCAAGCCCCTCGATCCGAGGGCCTTTACAAAGAAACCAGGTTCTTGATCTCTTAGTCTCGTCAACACGAAACTTGAAACCAGTGGGTTGAAGAGTGCAACTCAACAATCGCGCTCGTGCTAGCATCCAAGCAGCTGAAGATTGTCTCCAGCAAGTGGTTCTGAACTTCGACTTCCCCGACTGTTATTCGTATGTACTCCTGGCCGTGTGTGCCAGTTGCCACAGCTCAGCCCAGATCGCACAAAAAGCGGCTGATGGTACAGTGAGCCTTCGTGCATTGGTTTCTGGTGCACCGTTGCGGAATCAGGAGCCGGCGCGAGAAACCGTAACAGTGTCGTGCTATGCACATGCACTCAATCTTAACTCTGCTCATGAAAAGTGCGTGTAAGCGGCATTGAAAGCACACTCACAACCAAAGCCGTAGCCGACAAAGCTCCATGACTCCTCGCTGGTGCGCTGCATGGATGTGCTCTTGCAGCCGCAGCAGGGCTCAGCAACGCCGCTTTAGTGGCGCTGACTGTTCTTCAACATCAGGCCATTTTTGTGGCCATCGTGGTTTAGCAATTGTTTCAAGTCCAACGGACAGAGACGGCGCAGGGTCTTGCCTCCTCGTCGCACAAGCCGCAAGAAAGAAGATTGGCTCTCCCTCTCTCTCTCTCTCACGCCCTGCCGTCGCGTAATCTTGAGCAGGCTAGCATCATCTCAAAATCCATGATGCGTCTAGGGAGATCGATCAGGGCTTAAGGCTTGTAGCTGGCACTCGCTGGCTGGATGCCAGGAGAGATATGCCACTTGCTGAATTGCACTGGTAGGTTCTTGATTTTAACTTCTTGACCTGCAACCATCGCCTGCGGAAAACTACCAGCAGCAATATTTGTCAACTAATGTCAGGCCTCCGACATCATGCACAAAGTGACGTTCATCTTGATCTCCTCTGCAGGGGCAACCGGCCTAGTTTGCAGAAAGAGGCAGAGTCTGGACGGATTGCAGCACCATCTCTCTCCTTCGCTCCCTCCCCGCTCTCGGCCCGCCGGCCGCCCGCCTTCCTGCCTGCCCACGCGGGCGCGCGCTCCCACCTCCCCCCCCCACCTGCACGCATGCATGCATGCGTGCACACGCGTGCACGTTAGGCATGGGGAGAAGATACGTTCCACATGTTTCCCTAGATGGGAGACCAATACAAGCACGAAGACGAGCTCTTGAGCAAACACCTGCAAAGACCACGCAAAGGTACGAATTGCCAAAACCGAACGACACCTGAACAGAAGGAACAGCCAGCAAATATGTGACGTGTCTTGCAGTTGGATTGCCGACGAGAAAGGAAGATAAAACAAGCTCAATGTAATTATAACTATACTCACAAGCAACGCAAACAACACTTCAAGTGCAAACGCGAAGCATGCCGGCCGCCAACAGCATGTCCTCCCAACAACTGGCAAAGATGCGGCCAGCAGGATACAGTCCTAGTAGTGCACTAGCTGTCTGTCAACAGTGTGTGTGCTCACCATTTTCCTTGTATAGTTTTCGTGTATGCTGGCATTTTGTTTTGTTTTTCAAGCGTATGCGTTTGTCAGCTTGACACAACCTTAACCGTTGACGTTCTGCGGCTACACATTCGCCATTTTCTTTGCTTCCTCTTTGTCTTGTTATTCTTGCAGCAGTACATCCCTGGTCTAATACCTCACAATGTGTAACTCAAACGTGATAGAGATGGTCGAGCCACAGCGAAACAAGACTGCAGATACATGAGTAGTGAGTATTCCTAGCAGGCAGTATGTGTATATATTCGTCAGAGAATGTAGATGTCTGTAAGGTGTGCCATTTCTACGTACATGTCGTGTGCACGTCGATGCATGTGTATTTATCTATACATGCACACGTGAATGTACACGAGCAGCTTATAAGATAAGGTGCAAAGTGGGGCATGTCTCTCTGTATCTCTACCCATCTATATGGCTCCGCTGCGCGGCATGTTTATGGTACAGTCCAGTCTTCATGTCAGCCCTTGCATGACAAGATCAGGTTTGGGCCAGAACAGCAAGGGGCCACGAGGTCGATCCCGCGAGTTTTGTTAGACCCTCGAGCAGCTTTGGCAACTTGGTGTCTGTCGAAATCAGCTGCACGAACCTGAGAGCCGAATGCCCACTTTGTCTTGTGCAGTTCTCCAGTTCTGACAGGAAGTTCCCGCCGTGGAGGAGGCCCCGGAGTAGGGATCCCAGAGAAGGCGGTCGTCACTCATCTTTGTCCACCTTGCCTCAGAGCGCTCGGAAAGGGCAAACTCATCGCTGCCCATCATTGTTGGAGGAAGTTCTTGGGGCTGGTGCAGCCTTGGTCTAATGCAATTTGCTCATCAGACCTTGTAGCAGCAGCTACGCACTTCAGCTATGATGGCTGCTTCACTGCTCCAAAGATGGATCATCCCAATGCATGGACCAGATGGAGGGCGGATGCAAGCTGGCTTGGCCCAGCAGATGACATCACACACCTAAAGCCGGTGAGAACTGAGGATCCCGGAAGGCGACGAGTCGATACCTCCACAGGCACGCGGCGGGGGGGATGGGGGGCAGCACTGTGAACACACCGTGTCTATCCACCGGAAGAGACATAATATGTACAAATATACATATATATATATACAAACGAGGTATGTGTGTATTTATGTATTTATTTCCGTATGTATGTACGTATGTGTGTATGTATAACATGTACATATGTACAAATGTATATACTAGAAGTCGGAAAGACAACGTAACAATGACCAAAGATCCCCGGAGGATTCCGCAAATACGTTGATATTTGTTGGTCTGCATTGTGGCATTCCAGCCTGAGACGAAAAACAGCAAAACCCCAAGATGCGGAGAGAATGCCGGATGTGTTTTGTGCGTTTTTGTTTGGCTTGTTTTGGGGTTTTGATACTCTGAGTGCCATGGAGCAGTGTCACCATATCAGAAACCGAGTAACACCAGCACCAAAACACAAAAAGCCAAACCCAAACACAACAACACTTCCGGCTCTCTCTCCGGGTATAAATTTGTTTTGCTGATGTTTGGGTCTCATCCTTCATCTTTGGTTGTTTCACTTGGCCTGCCCTGTAAAAAAACCCCTATGCCCTACACCAAGCATCTATAATGTGCCAGTGGCCGTGTGTGTACAACATGTTTCATAGCAACTTCATTTATCCAGTTCTTCTGCTCACACATACCCATATGCTTACACTGGGTTGCCCAGCACCCTAAACCCTAAACTTTCTGGTTCTTTGCACGCTTCCTCCTCCTACTAGGAATTCCGGACGCGGATAGCTAAGGGAAAAGAGGGTTCAAACAAAAAACCCTAGACCCGAAACATATTGGTTACTCTATCAGGTCTCTTAGAAGTACACCGTTTACAGTAGTTCATGCCCATTCTTTTGTTAGTCGAACTAGGGGTTGTCGTTCTTACAAAAGTTGTTTTCGAAATTGTCAGCAGCAAATTATGATCATCAAGTTGTGAACTGTGCATATTGTACTGGTTAGGGCTCTTTACTATAAGCACCAGTTAAAGCCGTACAAACATCAAAACACCACAGTTAAAAGACCTCCACATGCAAAATGCGAAGCACATATACCTAAAAGTCGTATACATGTATCTTAAGAAGTGCATAATTTCAGCCAGAGCAAACATTTTCGTATGATACCAGTCTTCCTATACAGGTAATGAAGTCCTCAATCATAATCAACTGACCGGTCTTCTCATTGTCATGGTATGGAGTAATAACGTTTTCAATCACAGATCAATGTCTCTTTCTGCGCAAAACACCAGGGCGAAGTAGGTTATTTGGCAACATGCAAATATCTTACATGTACAGGTAAGCACATCGCCTGAGCACATGAATGTGACCAATAATGGCAAATACATCATCATTATCAGCTGGCTGGTTTTGGCTGATGCTAGAGGTGAATGAAACCCGTTCAACCCCTTAAATGCTCAAAGTCAATGATCAGACCAACTGACTCTCCTCAAGTACAAAGACTTGTCAAATGGGTAGTTCCATTCTTCATTAAGTCATTAAGGCTAGATGGGGTTTCCCTGGTTGTACAAGGCTGCTGGTCTTGAGCAAGCCGTTGACCTAACAGAATGTCTGGATGTCACTGGATGTCTTTGAAATCCTTTGATGTGCTGGTCGAAGCACTAGAAGTGGCGGGATTGATCATGACAATGTATAGGAGAAATGATTTGGTAAAAGACTCAAACACATTTGACATGGAGTATGGTGACCTTGGTGGGTATGTTACATCATCAGCGACAGTAGTGTAACCACGCCAACAAAGGAAGGAACTCAAAACGAACTGCACTAGCAGTGTTAAATGTCGGTAATGAATGGCACAATTTTTTTTATTGGGAACATAGAGATGACCAATATTACGATAGGCTCGAGATACCAGATGTAATTTTAAACCCAGATAGAATACCCTTCAGCTTCTTTTATTTCAAACCAAGCAACGTCCATATCTTCCCTAGGGTGGTCTGTGGCCGAAGGGGGTTGGTGAGCATATAGTATGTATGTATATGCACATATATACACATACACGCACACACACTCGTACACCCAGGTTCTGGGTATGTATTCTCATGAGTGA